TGTTTATGTCCATCTCCATGTGTTTGTTTGGGGTTATGTGATTATCTGTTTCAACTCCATTCCCTTGTACTTCTCTTTCTTTAGAAGTGTGAGTGTTTTGATTCCGATGTGCTCTGACTGTTTGCAGTCTGCTATCAGTAAAGGACAACAAGCATTTATCTCTCACACTCACACAGAGGCAGTCACAGGGTCGCACGCATGCTATCTCATTCCACACACATCATCAAACATGCATTACACACACACACACACACACACACACACACACACACACACACACACACACACACACACACACACACACACTCACTCTCATCGTGTTTCCCCCTCATGTTGTATTGATCTAAAAGTGATCAGTTGTTGGCGTCTATCAAGCATGTGTTGGGTTGCACACACACAAACAAACAAACACACACACACACACACCAGCCGATGGGTCAATGGGTTGACTGGGATTACCACTGAATATGAACTGAATGACCACAAATAAACATAAACATGCTTGCTCTCTCACACACACACACACACACACACACACACACACACACACTCGCGCAGTATCTCTCTGTCATGACTCTGTTGTGAACAGAACGACCACAATTGTTCTCTTTTCAAACAAAAGGAACATTATGGTTTAACATAAAACACATGGTTAGTTATTTGATGGCTTTGTATAGTGATTATAAGGGAGGGGAGGGACAGTGGGGGAAGAGGGACAACAGAGGGGGGAGATGGCAGCAACAGAAAGAAACATTTTAATGATGAAATTATTGTCGCAGTTATTCTGACATGCGAAAGAGGGCACTAGAGAATTTTAAATAACGGACTGAAACGCAAGGTAAATGCATTTGTAAGGGCTTTTTTTTTGCTTAAAGAGGTATTTTACACTGATTATAATGGTGGTGAAGGGTTGATGTAGAGAAAATCTGAGTAATGGGATTTAAAATGAGAGAGAAATCAGACAAAAGGAGAATAAAGACGAGCTGGGAAAATGAAGGACAGGAGGTGACGCAGGAGAGATGAGAAAATGAACATTTTGGGAGCCAGAAAATGAATGAAAGGCAGAGATGCAGGAAAGAAAGAGACATGTTGAGTGCTGGAGGGGATGAATTGCAGTCTGCCGCCTCGCTCATCCATCTTTCTGATATTGGGTGTGGGGTTTGATGTGGTTGTCTGTTGGCCTCTCTCCCCGTCTCGCTCTCATCTCCCTGTCTCCCCCATTTCTGCCTCACCCTCTCTCCACCACCCCTCCCTCTCCGTCCCTCTGATATGGTTTGCGTTTTGATGTGGTCATGTGTTGAAGATTCTCACGGATGGTTTCCATAACGATAAAAAGATTCACTCCCTGGTTTAAGCGCGGGATAAAAAGGCAAAAAAGTTTCACTTAAGGATGCGACAAACATCCCCACACACCCCCCTGGAAAAATGTCTCACAGCTGAGATGTTTCTGATTTGTCGGGACTGTTTTTCTTTGACGAGGTTTGTGGTTGAGGATTGTCACAGATTTTAGCATTCACAGAAGTTTGTAAATTGAATCAAAGCTGTTCTGTACACATACATCATTGTCAAAAAATTGTATTTGCTTGCGTTTGTGTCTGTACTCCATATTATATTTTCGGAGTCGTGCAGACACCTTGGATCTCTTAGTTTCTAGATTTAAAGGGATTATGAAAATCTGCTCGATATTTTCATCTCAAGCAGAACTTGTATTCATAAACAATGCATAGTCTTTATGCTTTAGTCAATGCCAACAAAACTGACTTTGTTTCTGTCTCTTTTCATTTTTCAGAGATGGTGAGGAAGAAGAATCCCCCTATCCGGAGTGTGGGAGGTGAGGAGGAGGAAGAGGAAGAAGAGGGGAGGAGGCCAGCAGGAGAAGAGGAAGAGGAAGGAGAGGAGGAGGGGAGAGTAGGAGCGGAGGCCGAACGAATAAACCGACCCTCCGAACCAGAGTCCTCCGATCGGATCAGAGGAGATCAGGAGGAAGAGGAGGGGGAGAGCGAGTGCGTGTCCTCGTCCGTCTCTCCGTCATCCGTCGGTGAGCCCTACAGCAATGAAGAGAGGGGGGGGAGGAGGAGAAGGGGAGGGGGGAGAGCCAGAAAGGCGGGAGCGGCACTGACTGACAGACCCGAGAGCCAGTCGGAGGCTGAGGATGGTGAGAAGGGGGTAGAGGAGGGGGAGAGGAGCGACAGAGACAGAGGGGAGGCCGACCATCTCTCCGCTCCCCACCTCCTCCTCCCCAGACAGGAAGGAGAGGAGGAGTCGACAACCGCCACCCCTCCGCTGTCCTCCAGCCCCTCCCCCAAACTCCAGGACTTCAAGTGCAACGTGTGCGGTTACGGTTACTATGGCAACGACCCCGCTGACCTGGTGAAGCACTTTAGGAAGTATCACCTGGGTCTGCACAACCGCACACGGCAGGATGCTGCCCTCGACACACACATCCTGGCCCTCCACAACATGGCCCCCCAACACACACCTCTAGGTAACTCCAGCTCCATGTCTTCACTTGAGTTGCTTTTTATCCATGGTGTTTTATATTTACAGCTCTTATATCCACATTTGCATGAAATAGCTGTAAATATATAAACATTCTGGATACACTGCTGGATCAAGTTTTCTTAAATTGTAGGGGAACGTTTTATTTATTTAGATTTTGTTAAGTTGTTTTTTCAGTATGCTCCGATTGCAGTTGTCTTCAACAATAACTTGTTGATCTAAAGTTTTCCTTCTTCCCAGAAATCAGACATATCCTGACATTTGTGTGTTTCTGGCAGTCTGACCCCTCTCTGTTTATCTTCTACACCTCTGACCCCTGCTTGTGTTTCTGCTCCCAGATATACAGGCAGGACAGGGCCAGAGGATCCAAGCCAAAGAGTTGGGGAAGACCAGACCAGATGTGCACATTCAACAGCACAGGGCTGTTATGATGAATGGCACATATGACATACAGGTACGCACTCCACACAGTCAAAAGCACAAAGAAATAGATTTAAAAGGTGTGATGTTGCACACCTTTCTTTTTTCCCCACTCGCACTAAAGATGCATGCGTACCATTAACACAAAACCTCTACACAAAGCAAGCAGAAATAGAGCCACCTCCACAATAAGTAAAAAGAAAAAAAGTGATAACAAAAAACCATAGAGGAAATTACTTATTAAAAATGGCTCAACTTTTCTTGTTTGGCATTGAATTAACTGGAAAGAGGGTAAAGCAGTCAACGGATGGAACTTAGCTTGTTGAGTAAAATCCTTGTTCTCCTCAGTCCAATAAAAAGCCTGAATTATTAGAAAAGTGTACAGTTGGGGCATTTGCTGTACGTTGATTTAGTTTAATATATCTATGTTCTTCTGTGAGAGGACCATGTTCTATGCTTACACTGGCTGCAAACAATGTGTGGTCATTTCATTAAAGTTCACTTTCAAAGCATGCCAAACGGACATTCAATTCAAAAGATAAGATACCACTGGTGTCATAGCAACAGAGATGGATCCATAAATATATATCCAATAGTGATTGTTTGTGACCAGCTTTGAAAGAAAGATCTACAGCTTTAGATACAATGCAGTACTAATGCATCTGTTTAACATCTTTGCATCTGCTTTTCATTATTTACAAAAAAACGCCTTCCGTTCTGTGGCAGAAAAATTCAGAATATGTAGCATTCCTCTCATTGATATCAAAGTTACTTGGACTGTTTCTACTTGTTTTTGAACAATACCCAATTTTTAAAAGACATTGCAATAACACACACATTGCTGCATGATATAGTTTGACATACTTTATTAGAAAACTTTAAAGATCTCAGTATGGATTAGAAACTTTGATCCAAAACACTTGACACATTGATTGAGTTAACAATTCACTATAAGCATTTCTTGTAATAAATCTGTGAATCTGGGCCCATAACTGAACTAGGTAATTTATTGGGTCGAGCAATCTGCAACAGATTTGTAACAGAGTGTGTGTGATTTGGACAGAGAGGCATTGTGGTGCACGTTATAAAGTTTTATGGACTGACAGATGGATAGACAGACACAGAAAGGTAGGAAAATAGCGCACCTGGCAACGGGCTGCACAGACATGTACATCCGTGCTCCGGCACACACACTCTAATACACACAGGTTCACAGTCTGCTTCACAAATCACTTAGAGGCAATGCATTTGTACATACACAAGCACCGTATTCATCATAGTGTTTTAAATGATGGCTAATAAATGCATATCCTGTGCTAATCCCTCATATTCAGGACTCAATTTGTAAAGAATTTGAACAAGGACCGGTATCCATTGGGAGCTGCTTAGCAGGATAATGACAGGAATTCATACTTCCTTCAAGAGAAATGTCCTTCATATATTAAAAGATGATTTAATGTGTACGTTGTTATATAATACTCCATCAGAGCACATTCAAAAGTCAAATTAAATTCACACCTGCAGTCTGGACAAAACAGATCTGACAATCAATGTGTGGATAAATGCATGGCTTCAATGATTTAGTCCTTTTTTATGTTTACTAAACATTCAAATCAATAGTTGTTATTGTAGTTAATACAGCCTCAGACACAGTAGATTTTAGATGCATGTATTTATATTCTATCACACTGGCTAAAAAAATGTATTCTCTAATGTAAACTGATGCTACTTTTTAAACACATATTGAACATCATGCTTTATATAATCACTTTAATGACAGTAGTTATAATGTAATTGTTTTTGAAAGGCAGCAGAATGGGTGGTTTTCTGTTAGCTGAATAACTGGAAGTGTCAGGCCTTTATCAGGTCATCGTGCGTAAATGAGATGGTCAGAATGAGACATTGAGTTGCTCTAATGTAGCAGGAAAATTAATCTACCGTCAGAAATTGTAGAATTACCCAAAGCATTTTTGGCCTCATCGAATTTAATGAATGTGTTTACTTACCGAGTTGATTTCAAGTTTCATGTTCTGTATATATTGCAGCCTCATAATTGTTTTCCATGATTTTGGAGGTTATAAGATCCCATTTCTCATCAGCTAATAAGCCATTTCACATATAACTTCCCAAATAACCATAAAATAGAATTTGCCTCAGACTTAAAAATTGCGTCAACGTTTAGGACGTTACAGTTGCGTGAACAGTAGGGTTTTGTCTGAAGAATTGAAACAAGATGATCTAACAAACGTGCGTGCCTATGTGTGCACGTATAATGTATAAGGAATAGTCATGGAGTTTCATTTCACTTAAAGAAGTCTGTAATGGCAGTAAGTCACGTAATGGACGCAGATACACACAGCAGTCAAGCACACACACGCACAAATTCAGAAATAGAAAATCCAGTGGGCTTAAGTCGTCATTACGAAGAAAAAGTGAAAGTATAAGAAAAAAACCGAATGAAAGGGGTCTCTATATTCTCCATCCCTCGCTTGCTTTTTCTCTCTCCCGCCCACGTTTGGAAAATTCCATGTTGTCATTTGCTAAGGCGAGATGCCCTGTCAACCAATGACATTGCGGGAAAGGAGACTGGGAGGAGAGGGATATGGGAGAGAAGGAAAGAGAGATGGAGGAGGAAAGGTTAAAAGAGAGTGGAAGAGACAGACAGAAAGGCTTTGAAACCAGTACTTATATTCGACTGTAAGGCAGTGTAATGAAACAGCTGTCAGACACGTTTAACTTTCTTTTTCTATCTCTGTTCTCCAGTAGTCTCTCTCATCATTTGTCTTTGTCTTTCCTTCACCTTCTCCCTCTTTTCTTTGCCCACTACTTCTTACTCCACCTCTCTGTTCCTTGACTTTTCTTTCAACGTATCTTTGTTTCTCTCTATATCCTTCCCTCTCCCTCTCATGTTTCCCTTTGTTTCTTTCTGTCCAGTCTGGCTTGCTATAATTACTTGATGTTTGGCTGTTCACTAATTGCCAAGGCAGGGTCTGTGGGACATGATGATTGGATGATTGCTTTTATGAGATCACACACAGTAATAGCTCTCATTTAGCCTTCTGAATGTATTCCCTTAAGAAAGCTGAAATGTTCAAACATACATTAAGCAATACTTATTTTGCTCTTTTTGTCGCATGATCTAGAAAAAAAAAAAAAATGTCCTCGCCATCTTACTCTGTTTTTCCTGCCTTTCTTTTTGTCTACATGCTTTAATTACTGTATACGAGCTCAGGCAATAGCTGTTAGTTATTATTATTTCCTGCTCATGCTCCTTGTCCATACAAAAAACAGTGAGAGTTTAAATGATCAGGTTTTAAATGTGAAAAGGGAGAAAGAATAATTTCCTCAGTGTTATTTTTCAGATGAGTACAAATGATGACCTGGATGGCAAGAACAAATGAATAATAGAACATTCATTTTGAAAGTACATTAATGTTTCAGAGTTCATAATGAAGAGCATGAAAAGAAAGTGTACGCAATAATGTAATAATTGAGATAATAACCAAAACGACATTTGCACTTGAAGTATCAAGCTTAATGAAAAAAAATGATATAACCATATGTCCTCGTTCACCTAAAATGAAGCTTACCGGTTGCATTTTTGTTCTTGCCAAACCTCCATTGAAAGACTGCCAATAGTCAGCATTAAATCAAAGATCTGTAAAGATAGAAATCCACTTACTAAAGTCTTACGTCTAATGTCAGTGTAAGACTCGCCAGCATGCCTGCTCACCAGTATAGTCAGCAGCACAATATAATCTCCTACAGTCAAGGGGCTAACCTAATAAAACACAGACGACTGTCAGGTTGCTCGCTCAGTAATGCAAAAATCTTGGCCTGACACTTTGGATACTACAGTAGAGCCTGATAGATTTGTTATTGGTCAGTTGGTTTGAGAAGCCTTTAATTATCTACAGTGACATGTAGAAAATGATGGATTACCTTTGTTGTGAGCTCATTTCACACGTCTCTCAAAAATACACTGCCCAGGATTTAGAAATGACATTGATGAATGTATTATTTGGTGGTAATGGCGGTGTTGCCAAGTCATGTTTCTTTTAATTCACCCATATTTTTTTGAAATTCAAGTTGTACGTCTGTATGATAAATATGATTTTTATCCAGATGTTACAGTTTTCTTTGTCTTTCTTTTTTCTGCCTGTCAACAGGTGACGCTAGGTGGCACGCTAATTGGGATTGGCCGAAAGACCTCTGACTGCCAGGGGAACACAAAGTACTTTCGCTGCAAGTTCTGCAACTTCACCTACATGGGCAGTAATTCCTTAGAACTTGAACAACATTTTGTGTCCTCGCATCCAAACAAAGTTAAAACTCCGCCAACCACTCCCCTGCTGGCCTCCAATAACCTGGCAACGCACGACAACCAAGGGAAGGGTAGGAGTCAAATCTTGGACGGAGCCGAGCGAGTCGCAGTGAGAGCGGAAGACGATTCCTTGGCTGGGTACTACATCCCAGTCAGGGCGTGTTCTGATTCGTCCAGCTGGACAGGGGAGCCGGGTCACGATGCTGTGCAGACGTATTATTGGTGTAAATTCTGTAGCTGGAGTTGTGAGTGGTCAGGAGGCTCAGAGAAGCTGTTAGAGCACTATGAACAAAGACACAGAATGAGCACGGGAGGGACGATGAGCCCCAGTAACTCTAGCCCTGGGGGGGTGGAGAGAGAGAGGGACAGAGGAGGGAGGAGAGAAGGAGGAGAAAGAGGCCACGTCTCCTCCAAAAGCCGCAAAGATCTATCATCCAACCCTTCCGGCACGAGCCAAGGTAATGAAACATGAGAAAGTGAAATGTGGTTGTAAATTGCTTCACGTGTTTTTCAGTAGAAAGTGTCTACATTAATGGAGAATAAGATTAATGATCATGTGTAAGACATAGCAGTCTGATGATTGTTAATTTGTATGATGCTCTTCCTCGAGACTGACTTGTAGTTACAGTATTTGTTGTTAGAAGTACTACAATAACACTTGACCCTTGCTTTCTATTGATTATAGTGCTTGACACAACTTGCCTCTCCTCGTTTCACAAATTCCTGATTCTTGTTTTTCTACCCAAACACAGTTTTATTTAACAGACCTTTGCTCTGTTTTCTGCTCCTAGGAGACCCAAACAGCAGTGATTCAGAAGCAGTCGTGACCAGTTATAACTGTCAGTTGTGTGATTTCCGGTACTCGATGGCCCACAGTGCTGATGTGATCGTAGTAGCACCGTTACTACTGCACTACCAGCACAATCACTCCATCCACCGCTGCTGCATTCAGCACTGCATGTACTGTCCACAGGGCCTCTGTCAGCCCCAGAAGCACCTAGGGGAGGTGAGATTAATCAAATATTCAAATGTTTATTTGCTCGGTGTATTGGTGTTTGCTTGGCAATTAGAATTGAGCTGTTCTGTAAGCACAAGAAAATAAACTGTAATATATGAACAAGTGTTAAAGTTAATTGTTCCAATTTGCAGCCTAGTTAAAATTCCCCCTATCCACCTACACACACTCCACAGCCTCCTTTGTGCCAGCTGCCAAACGAAGGCTGCTGCAGCTGTTAAAAATACAAAAAGGATGGTTAACAGCCAAAATTGGGGGTGGCATCATTCAGTTAATGATGCACATTCATACTCGTCCCCTCTGACATCTACTGTGTCAAACACAATCCCATCACAACAAGAGTAAACATAGTCAAAATTCACCTCGTGCACAGTTTTATCAGTCACTAAAACATGCAAAGGTCCATGCTACTTCTCACTAAACATTGTGTCATCAATAGGTGTCTCACCCCTTTGCCTGTCGGAAACCCACCTGCCCTAAGTGCTGCTCCAAGTTCTCTACGTCCACCAAGCAGCAGGACAGCGTGGGATCAAAACCTGCCACCTCCACCTCCCCCAGCATGACCCCTCCTTATCCTCGGGGTGACTCTGGTGTGATTTCAGGATCAAGTTCTCACCTCTCTAACCCTGCACATCCTGTCGTCACACAAGGTAATCAAAGGCATACATTATCGGGCACTTTTTGTCTTTTTTTGCAAGTCAATAGGCAAGGCAAGTTTATTTATATAGCACCTTTCAACACAAGGCAATTGAAAGTGCTTTACAAAAATGAAAGACATTAAGAGCATTAAGAAACATATTATAAAATGCCATTTAAAAACACTCTTTTAAAAGCAAAGATATAAAATGGCATTTAAAAACACTAATTTAAAAGCACAGATAATACAACATGAATAACAAAGGTACATGAATAAAAGTTACAGTGCAGTGTGAGATACACTCATCTGACATGTTTAGGTCTGACTCTCAATCATTTCTAACTTTTTTAGCAGAAATAGTTTTATTTGACCTCACTTTCTTTCTACTTTCTTTTTGAACTTATCCTTTAGTTATTTCAAGTGTTTCATGCTAAACGAACCCCCCTTTATAAAATTCTAATCTGCAACCCAATATTCCGAAAATTCCACCAATAGAATCATCATCCTCATCCTTTGTCTCTTTTTTTCTCTTGGGTCCTGTTTTTTTTTTATCCAGGTGTCACCCACTTATGTGATCAGTGTGCGTTTGCCACCACCGACATCGACGTGTTGCTCCAGCACTACGAGAGCTGCCACACCCTGATCAACCTGAAGGGGGCATCCCTACATGTCAAGGCTGAGGAAGATGTCGGGGGCGACAAGGAAGGGGGGAGAGGAGAAGAGAAGGAGTACTCTTGTACAAAGTGTCACTTTATCACAGAAGTGGAAGAAGAGATTTTCAGACACTACAGGTAAGAGACATGGGATTGGAAAACATAAATATGATACTATTATTGGTATTTTATATAATTCCAAATTATGTTTTTTTCCCCCAGGTTTTACTCATAGATATTCACAGATTTGTTGTTTTTCAGTATTTTACTATATCCATACTGAGTTGAGATACCAATTTTCGATTATTTCCCCTCTCCAGATCTATAATAGTTTTGCTTCTGTTTGCAGTATTTCAGCCTGTGGATACCATCACTCATTTCTTTGCCCATTTCATTCTGTGATTTATGACATTGCCTTTTGTCAGTGCTAGAATCGTGTACATTTCAAATACTGACAGTTTGAAACTTATCAGAAGTTGAAAACGAGCCTCTCACTTTCTGCTCACCAGAAGATCAGCACCAGGTTCCCTTACCGGCTGAGCTATCTATGGCTTAATCTAATCTTGGAATCAACTCTGCGACATGAAACTCTGAAAATCCATCACTACCGATTTAGCACTGCTCCTGTATAAACGCCAGACTGGATATGGACAGTTTTCTTCAAGCATAAAAATTGATTCAGCAGAACCCGAGATTTCTTTTTTATTCCACACATTCTTCCCTTCCAGAACCTGCTGCCTACGTTACGCACAATGCAACTTGACGGCTATATTTCAGTCAGAAATTAGGTCGGGTTATAATGGCAGCAGAAAATGTAGCCTAGAGCAGCTAGCCTCAAGCACAGAAGAAGAGCAGGTACAGAGGCCGGATATATTTTCCCTTTTCAATTTTTTTGTTTCAGTTTTCCCCAAGTGATGCAATTAAATTGCATGCAGCTCCCTCTGGAGCCACAACAGGCTTTATACAACTTGTTTTACTTCTGCAGTAATACTCCCCAGGACATGTATACAGACTTTGATTTGTAAAATAGGTGTTATCTTATATTTATGAATGCAACTGGTACTTTTACTGACTATCCTTACTGGAGCATCTTTGTCTAAAGAGGATCATCCTGTCAGTGTCCAACCAAAAAAACTAAAGATTGTTTGAACCTGTTTTATTTTTCATTTGATGCTCAGCAGTAAAACGCTGTCTTTTGACTGCATGTGTCTAACGGTAAATAAGTCAGAAGCTCAGTTTCACAGACTTTTACAAGGTCAGACTAGACTCCAGAGCCAGTGTGTTGCCCACACTCACACCCACACACACATGAGTTTACAGTGTCATAGCCAGAAAATGATAGAGAAGGCTTTGAGTTGGGATGGGAAAAAGAAAGAGAGAGGGGTGGAGTGGGAAAGTAGGGACAGGATACAGACTGAAAGGGAACTCAGGATTGTGTGAAATCTTTTTGACTAAGTATTGATTTAGATTGCAGATCTGAATTGCTTCTTATGCTCATAAACAGAGTCACATACACAAGTTCTTGCTTTCTGGCACACACATAAGCACACACAAAAGATTACAGTCTGACAGAGCCATCTAATACAGATTTCTGCTGCAAATCAATGAAAGATTTAAGCATTTGATTCATTTCATGGTGAGAGCAGAGAAAAGAAGAAGATGGAGAGTGAAGGAAAAGAGTTACAGACAGACAGGGAAGAAAAAAGACGATATATTGTATGAGGCAAGGAGAAAGAAAGACAAAAAACCAAGGGTGAAAGTGAGAGAAAGGCGACAAAGCGAGAGGCAGAATGGGAGAGTGGAGGGGATTCAACAGTCCACTCACGTCCTTAACAAAATCTTAGCTCTGAATCTGAGTTAAAATCAAATAAAACTGAAATAAAGCCCAAAAGTTTCTCACCACCAGTAAAAATCACCTGAAGACTAAAGGATTCCAAGACCAAGTTTCAGACAACAAAATTCAGGATTTAATTATAGGGTGCTCAGAACAAAGGCCTGAGGTGTCGGGGGAGAGAAGTTACCATGTGAAGCAAACTAATCAATCTCCCTTTCAACTTCTACACACACAAACACCCTCAGTGAGGTACTGAAGTGTGTAAGGTACAGACACAAACCCACAAGAACACATACCTTTCCTGTGATAGTTTAGAATGTTTGGGCTTCAAAACATTATTACACTATCTAAACTCTTTTAAAAAACGTTTGGTATTGAATAAATACTGCCTTGCTCTCACTGTAATTACTAGCACTTGGTTAGTTTGTGTATGTGTGTAGATGTGACACATGCAGGTGTGTGCTGACCTCAGAGACGGCAAGGGTTGTGACACTAAAAAAATACTTGTTATTTAAGAAATGTAGTAAATGCTGACCTATTAGATTGTCAACTCAAGGTAGACATACAAAAGCAAAACATGTGTGACATGTGCAGGGTTGTCGCTACCATATTAAATTACTTTTGGTTAGCTTTTGTAAGCAGATTAAAAGCCTAAACGAATCAAATATGAAGACAAGTTGAGTGTGAGCTATCATAAACGACATATTCCACTACCACAAAAAGAGAATTTAGGAGAGCATTTTGTACCCGACATACACCAGCATTAGCAGTAATTCATATAATATAAAGAACCCAAGAAGCATGTTATTTAAGGACAGTTTAAAACTGTATAAGTAATGCTTTTAGAGTGTTTCTTAATTTGTTTGATGTTTTGATGTTCTGTTGCAAATGTTCCTTGGACATCATTTAATTGAATGTATGTAAGAACACATAGTGGTTGACAGTTTTCAGAGTAAAGGAGGATTGGATCATAACTTTTGTGGAATGGATGATTTGTTTATATATCTATATATATTATTTGTATTATTTATCATGTGTATGCTTGTGTGTGTGAGAGGGAGTACCAGCGAAAGGGCATGTGCATATGTAGTGTGTGTGCGTATGTGTATGGTGATGACAAACGGAGAGGCCACTGTGTCTTTGTTCAGCATCTGGAGACATTTAAGTCCATTAGGTACAAGGTGTACTTTACTCACACACACATTTCACACATTTCTACAAATACCTTGACAAGGTTGATCTTATCAAGATACTTTTTAAAGCCTCAACTTGAATCTGTCATTACCTAGGAAGTTTGTTTTCTTCAGCACTGGATAAAGGGCAACATAGGGACAAAACAGTAAATAATGTATACAGAGAAACTGAGGCAAAAGAAAAAGGCACAAATCAGCACTGCATTTATTTTAAACGTATACATTTCATTGTCATTAAAACACATTTCTAAATTTAGCAAAAACAAATCTGACAAAACTGTTAGACACCCTCTACAGTGGCCTTGATGTCCATTTGCGTTACTACATTTAAGCGGCCACTAAAAGGCCAGTGTTTGGTTTGTCTGTTCGGGGCTAATAAACATGTAGCTGATTATTTACTTATGAAAAAAACTCAAATTATATAATTTTCCATTTTTGCCAACAGATCCTCTCCTAAAATACACACTGGTCCTTTAAAGTTTCATTTCAGTCAGACAACTCACGTGTTTCTTTAACACGTTTATTAGAAGCAGCATTGAGTTTGGCGTCTAGGCTCGATCCTCATCACTCCATAGATATACATAGCACGATGAGTGATGATTAAACAACTAACCCCCCGAGCCTACAGGAGGAAGCTAGGGTGGAAGCTGGGGTGGAAGCTGGGGTGGTGGTGGGGCAGGCAAGCAGCAGCGACGTAGAATAGCTGCAGCAGCAAGCAATGCATAGAGAGAGATCTGGCAGGTTAAATAGAGCGGCATATTAAGGAGCCTCTGTTTGGTTGGTTGCAGAGTGGCAAGGGGCGTTATGTATGAATGCAGCATAAGTGCTCGAGTTGACTGCCTGAACTAGCTCGCAGGCTTTGCCCCATTTATGTGTTTTCCTGCATGGAGAATTGTTTTGGCAGATTCTCATGACGAATCCATATGCATGAGTAGGGCTGGAACAGAAAAATGAGAATTTCATAGTCCTTAGATGTTTGCAATGACATCTTTTGAATGATTATATTCCAGTGTTATAAAACACTCCCATAGCAGGATGGCAAGTAATGAGAAGTCACTGTTCAGAAAAACTCAAGCGAAGACAGCAGTAGTGTCGAGCAAATTGCTGCTTTGGATGAGATGGGAGTTAAATAAGTGGAGAAATGTTCATCCTACTTTGAGTCAAACATGCACACGTGACTTGTTTGAAAAACAATGCTCCAAATGGACTCCTTCTTCTGTCTAAACAAAAATAATAAGGACATGTTGGAATTTTTTTTGTTCAAAGTTTACTTTCAGCATAATCGATAAATTCGACAGTGAATACATTTGATGATATTAGTAGACACAAAATATAAAATGGTATTGTACTATAAGTATGTATATATGTGTGTGTATACAGTATATATACTCACAAATGTGTATGTATATTTGACAGGTTTTACTTTTGACCTATAAGCCCTGAAAATATAGAAGCTGCCCATAATGTGCCCACCTACAGACGCCACATGCGGGACGGGAGTCCAAGTTCTTGTTATCGATGGTCCATTGATTATTCTCTTGGCCCGCACAGGAAGCATCAAAACAGTTTTTTGAGCCAGGAAAAACCCTGATGTTTTGCATCAAGTGTATAGCTGTTCAGTCAGAGCCTTGCTAACGGGAAGTAATGGTGGTTTGTTGATGGGTGATTCATTTCTAGTTCAGATTCATTTACATTCATTGCAGTTTTTTCCTAAGTCATAGTGATATAGTGGAACACTGAGTCACTTTTTGGCCGCAGCTCTGTGAAACTCTACCTGAGTGGTTGGAGGAAAGTGGATTTTTTATCGTCCAAATGTGATCGATTGCAAACATTTTTGGAATGTCTTTCATATACAGCGCATTAAAAGCTATTAGAATGCTTTTTACAATTATAATCGATTGAAAGGTCAGACAAAATAATGTAGTTAAATGTTAATTCATTTGTGAAGTAACAATAACATTTGTGTTACCATGATGACTGTTGAATTAAAGATAACTCATAATAACAAAATCTATTTTTCAACTGTTGAAAAACCTACAAAAACACCATTTATGTATATACTTAGTGCGGAATTATGCTGATCTGAATTTAAGTTTTTATTTATTTGTGGATCATTCACTCAGCTTTTCTCTCTCTCTGCAGGCGTGTCCACGCGTGTAGCCGTTGTCGACGCTGTGATTTCACGGCTCCTGATTCGTCAGCCCTCCTCGACCATTTTAACTCGGCCCACTGCCATGACTCCTCTCCCTCGCCATTGACTTCCTTACCCACCTCACTCACGCCTTCGTTAACACTCCTAGCCAATGGCTGCTCAGCTCCCTCTACCTTAGCCATTAAAGAGGAAAGCAAGGGGGATCTTCGCCTCCTTTACTCCCTTGCACCACCTGAGGGACGATTGGCCGAAGGAGGCCGAGAGGAGGCAGGACAGTTGGTAAAAAGTGAGGGAGGTGAGGAGAAAGAAAGAGAGCGGGAGAAAGGCTGGGTGCTCGGGGAGACGAGAGGACTGGGAGAGAGAGGAGGTGAGCAGGCCCACGGGTTACTCTGGGTGCCAAAGGAGCGAATGGGACCTGACAGAGGAGCAGGAGGTGGGAGCCCCTCTCTTTTCTCCTCCCCCCTCTCACTGTCATTTGTTTCAGCCAATCATGAGGCTTTGCAGCAGAAAAGAGGCGTGACTTCGCCTAGCATGGTTTACCTGGGAGACACCAAGTCATTTTTGGGAGATACCAAGTCACTTTTGGGAGATGCCAGGCTGTATGGAGGAGGAAGGCCAGGAGGAGCCACTGCGGGTGCAGGTGGAGGGGAGAAACAGAGCCGGATGCACCCACAGTTCACTGGGGGAGGAGGAGGAGGGAGTGGAGGAGGAGGACAGGAGAAGGGAGGAGCCGCTAAAGAGGAGTCCCAATCCCTTCTACGGGTAAGTCAGAAAAAGTGCCCACCCTCTACTTCTCTCATTCTTAACATCCCTCTTTTTCACATTCACCTCATTCTCTCCTTCAGCCAAATCGTTCTCCTTTGTCTCATTTACACCCTGATTTAAGCTTTGAGCTCTGACTGCCTGAAAGAAGGCCTTTGTAGCTAGATCTCTGAATCCAGATCCTACCTGCTGAGAGCATTAGCTGCCAACGTGCTTCTATTAATAGGCCTTCATCTTCGTTTCCTTTGAATCAGATGTGAGGATTAGACTTCATGCTGGGAACAGCTACAATGAGTCCTCTAATTCTTCCCTCATATTTAAAGCACTTGTGCAGATCGGCGAGCTAAGTATGTACGAGCGCCCCCACATTCTTGCGCTTGTTCATATCATATCTGAGCTCTTGTCCATGTGCGTATGATCCACATCATTTCCTTTCCCATATGTTGAATCCAACTTTTGTAAAATTAGAACATACATACTCACAACATAGAGTAACTTTACTGTTGCTACAGCAACGGGGAGGCAAATTGACAGTTCCCATGGTTACCACCTGTCAGTCAGTTTCCTCCTCCTACTTAGCAGCCCACAATGCTTTTCTCTTCACAGTGATGTCATGGACTGGTAGGAACAGACTGTGGTTTGCCAGCGCCACAGAGCTTATTGGCTATGATCACATTAGATCAGAATAGACTTGTGTGTGTGTGTGTGTGTGTGTGTGTGTGTGTGTGTGTGTGTGTGTGTGTGTGTGTGTGTGTGTGTGTGTGTGTGTGTGTGTGTGTGTGTGTGTGTGTGCACGGGTGAGTGGTGGTATTTAACAGTAGTGTTTGTGGTGTGTGTATATGTCAGTGTGTGAGCACTGTATGACTTCTTTGTACAAGTTGTGTGTGTGTGTGTTATGTGTTGGCAGTAACTTGGCAGACTGGACTGGGTGGGGCAGCAAGAGGTTTACTCATTATCATGGGTGGGGCAGTGTGTGTCTGTCAGAGAGCGAGAGAGAGTGAGACAGAGGGAGAGACTGCATGCGTGAGAGAGAAAGGGGAGGAGAAATGAGAGGAAGAGAAGAAGATTGGAAGAAGGGCTCAACAGAATTTGAGGATTTGATTGAGGTTATCAAATACATTTTCAATTGCCATACATGTTTTACATTATCACCCCAAAAAATATTGTGTTTAAACGGAATGACTAGACAAGCAAAAAAAAGGCCGCACAGAATTCAAAAGTGGATTCAGAAGTTCAATGTCATGAATGAAGCTTCATGACGATGCTGAGTAGAAGCTTCAATCTATTCGACACACCTATATTGAAAGTAAAATGGAGATAAAAGTCAACCCCCTAACATACAGCTTTCCTCTTTGTTTTGTCTCAAACAAGTTATACCATGAGAATTAGCAAGCTTTAAAGCCGTTGGTGGGCGTTTTTGTCGATATCAAGAATATCCTTACTCTAGCTCCATACACATGAGATTAACATAGATCTTCTCATCTGACAGTGGGAATCAAAGTAAAGTCATGTGCCTTTATTCTTCTCTACCAGCTTTTTACAAACTCTTCATTGAAACTATATGACGTTTACAGTGAGAAAAAATAGTCCAACCAAAATGTTTTTAAGGAGTTGCGCTGCAATTAAATGGGAATTTGAACATTTCCCCAGAATTCAGATACCAATATTTTCTTATCTCTGGGAACTCTAGGGTTGCCTCTTTAATTCAAAGTATATTTATGTCCGATCAAACAATGTATGGCTGCATATTGAGTTTGTAATGGTAGACCCATGTCCGCCAGGGTCCATGTAGACTGTATGTACCGAAATGATTTGTGTTTAGTGAGACAGGTGGTGAGTGTTTGAAGGTAGGGAGAATAAAGAGAGACGGGGAGGAAAGAAAAACTATTTAATAATTCATTATAGATGCTACAAATGAATTATTACTTAAATTGCCTCATTATATATTACCTTCGCTACTATATTTCTCCCTCTCCCCCCTCACTTGACAATATTTATTCTCAGTTTCCATGGCATGAGCTGACACGTCTGAAACGCGTATAAAACCACACACACACGCACACACGCACACAGGCTGAGGTTGAATCATCACTGGGAAGTGTAAGGGAGGGGCACTAATGCAAAGGATCATCCAAAACGGCTTAGTACACACACACACACACACACACACACACACACACACACACACACACACACACACACACACACACACACACACACACACACACACACACACACACACCTAAGAACACACCTAAGAACACACATAGCACACACACAGACTTTTGCTCCAATTCAAAATGCAGCCTGTGACGCAACAGGGCTGAGTCTGAATTACAAAAGGTAAATCCGCCCAAAATACAAATTGACTCTTTTTAAATGGCAAGTGAGAAGCAGAGAGGGAGCAGGAGAGAGGGCTGAAGAAAGAGCAATGATGGAGGGATGTAGGGAATGGGTTAGTAGGGATGGAGCGAAGGATTAAAAGAAGACAAAAAGCAGAAACAAAAGGCCCAATTGATATTTCATCCAAACACTTAGGTTGTGAGTGTGTGTGTCTTGTTCTTATGTGTGTGTGGTTTTGCACTTGTGTGTGTCTTCAGAATCTTCACTTGTTTTTTTCCTTTCTCCTTGGCATCGACCCGTCTCTCCCCTTTTTTCTTTTCATTATTTTTCTTTTCTTTTCCTTATTTCTCTCAAAGGACAACTCACCTGATACACAGTGATCGATGCACAGCTCACACGTCTTGCACACACAAGCTTTCAGAGGCCTGCACTACAAAGCAGGTTCAACATAACCTGGATATGTTTGAGTTAGCCGGTTGGCCTAATCCAAAACATACGCCCTCTCGCTAAACGGTACTACGACACGGGTTATCAAGTGGATCGCTCAAGCCAGCCGTGTCCTATCTAGTTAGGTGCGCGTTCACATGAAAGGGGTGGTATTTGGAGCATTCGACCAATCAACAAAACATGGACGAAAGCGTGACTGGCAGCGGCAGCGTCATACTTCCTGAAATGAAAAGTCAACTATAATATTAGTCAAATATGAAGAAGTTAAACTTAAACATCAATGACTAAACACTTTATCCAGGATAAAAGCCACATAGCTGGGCACCGCAAGGTGAATACAGCTGGTAA